CAGGGCCGTAGCCTCCGGGGGGGCAGGGGGGGCAGCTGCCCCCCCTGGAATTTGGAATTTTACACACCACACCCTCCCCCCTCGGTAGCTTCGCCCCCTCGTGTCCGCTTACTGCCCCCCCTGGCATTTTGCTCAGGCTACGGCCCTGACCCAGTATGAGTTATTTCCAAATGTTGTAATATATGACATAGCTTTTGAAATTTCAGCTTGTAGACTACCTCATGAATGACCCACTGGTGATCCAAGTGTATGGTAAACAAAAGACTGGAGGACAAAAAGGAGGAACAGCTCTTCCCACCAGAGAACTTATGGCTAGGGAGAAAACCATGATTCACCAGACCAAACAGGTAGAGTACTGTATTAAAACTAGAGACCACTCTTCTTACTAGAGATCTCATGGCTACAGAGAAAACAGTGGTCTACCATACAAAATGGGTGAAGTATCGTATTGAACTAGCTACAGAAAACCATAATTTATCAGACCTAGTCAGTAGAGTATTATCTTGAAGCTAACTATAGGATCATTCTTCCTACCAGAGAACTCATGGCTAAGGGGAAAACCATGATTTATGTTTAATTAAATTTTAATTAAAATTTTCAATTGTATTAAAAAATGATAAAACAGGAATCTGACGTACACCATTGAAAGGACAAATGTGCTTAGAGGTTTTGAAATATAGACATAATAAACCAGTATACTTAGATACAGTGAGGCAAGTTTATCTTTAACTGATGGAGACCAATTTTTTATCCAAATATTTAGACTGATTTTCTTTTGTGAGTTTGGCCCCAGGATTTTTGTTTTCATAGATGAACAAACCACTTTTTGTACCAGGTAAAAAAAATTCCAATAAACAAAAGATCTTATGATCTCAAAGACAATAAATTACGCTAACATGCGTGTATCATATTACAGGAGGATATGAAAAACAGAATGGCAGTTGAAGTTGCAACTGAAAGAAAAAAGTTTGAGAGGGCAGAGACCAAACTGGTGAGTTTCTTTTTCTTACAGTAGAAGCGACAGAGTCAAACCTTATCAGTTAAGTCTTCTAGACATGTAGAAAATCTACCACTTAAAACATAATATGAAAGAATCTTTTTCAATATGATTCACAGGCTTTGAAATTTCTTAATGGTTGATGTAATAATTTTGTAGATCAGGTGGAACAACTGGCTGCCTTTTGTGGTTGAGAACTGGTACAAATGCATGCACTTTATCGGATGATCTGGATTATCATAATCTTATGATCTTTAATTTGATTTTTTAAATTCATTTGGTTTGTTTTTCAAATCTTCAGAGAAAAATTCAGGAACTGGTAAACAAAGCAAAGAAAGGAAATCGAACTGAACTTGCAGTAAGTTGTGTGGAGAGAGAGAGAAAGAGATATTTGTACTTATCATAAAATATAAAAATGTTTTATGGATAAATATAGAACAAATGCAGCCAAGTCTGAAAGGCGAAATTGGGTTTTTCCAAAAAAGCAACTAGTTGGTAATATTAATGAGGGCTCTGTAGAGAAAAGTCACCATTTCAAAGGTGGTCTTCTTCAGTATAGTTAAACTAAAAGTTATTTGTTTTCCAATATTTTGCTGACTTTTTAATCACCTTTTTCGGGGGAAAGTGGCTACAGATTTTGTGATTATAGAAAGCACTCTTATTTCATCTCTTGTTATGAAAAGAACGGTTAAGGCAGATAAATTCATCACATTATTAATATTTTCATTAGGTAAAGGATGTGGAAGATATTCTCGAAGGCAGTTTCAGATTTAAAGGTGTAGCAGATGCTGTGACTTTGGCCAAGAGAAATGAAGCCATGGGGAAGAACACATCATCAGCCTGCAACCTGCAGTGAATTGGATCATCCAAAACACTCTTAGCAACCCTGACCTGAATTGTATGCCAGCCTACGTCAGTATTTGAGAAAAAATATATTGTTATCAGTATGCCTTCTCCTTCTGTCAAAATGGATATTTGAGAGGGGTGTACTGGATCTGGAGCTGTAGGTGTACATAACCAGGACAGGGGGACATTTGATTTCATTATCTCTTGCAGAAACCACCAAGATATATTTAACCTTCATTTAACGGTGATAATATTTATGAGAAGTATTAGGGTTTGCTCCTGTCTTAGTAGGTATAAAAGTTTATCACAATCTTTTCAGTCATTTGTTTACAATAGAAACTTTGGGAAGGAGCCTCTTAAAACTGATTAAGTTTTATACCAAAGTCAGTCGAAAGGGATTAGATGTAGAGAGAATATTTAGAATACAAAGGAGACGGAGAGATTTGACACATGGGAGGAAAACTGTTCTCCTGGTTCTGCCTAGCATAGAATTTGCATGAGAGATGACAGGGAAGATGAATCAAATCAGGCACTTCATTAAATTTGCCTATGCAGACATCTACCATTTAACATATAAGAAACATTCCACTGTATTTTCGTTTTTACTTCTTATTATATATAATAAATCATTTCATGCAGTATATGTCTTATCTGTAAAACATTGCCATATGTTCATTTCTTGAGGAAAAGAGTGCAACAATAAGGATTTGTGCCACAATATTACTTTTTTTTAGGTTTGATTACCAGAATTGCAATAAACTAAAAAATAACAGTATTTTGGAGGAAGTAATATTCTATAGTGTGGAAAGGATTACCCGTAAATGTCTTGCTAATAAATAAAATAATCAAAGACAAATAATAAACTGTGATGCAAAGGTATTTAAATATATGAGATGCTGCTGTATTGTTATGTCCGTCCACTTATTGTAGAATAATGTGATATGATTATTTGATGTTATTGATATTAATACATTATATATAGGCTGATTACAATGTAAGAGGGAATAGCATTACGTTGGTGTGCCTCTTGCTTTCTGTTATTGTAGTATTTATCACTTTTGTGACAATTTCCGTCCTTGAAGATATTGATATTCATTATACTTTAATTAGCATCAAGCCATATTATTTTTTCTTCTGGTTTGATGGATTTATTTATTCCAGAATGCATTATATATATTTTAATAATTTTATTTATTTATTTTGATGATTGTTTGTTTTGTGAAAATGAAGTGTAAAACAGTAATAATATTTTTTTATTTTACCGATACATGTATATGCATTCCAGTTGCCAGCAACACATGATAACTGTAAGCAATAGATCAGTTTTCTGTCCATACAATATATATATAATATATATATTGTCTTGATTCATGTACATATCCCTAACGAATAAGTCTTATAGTATCCTATAAGATCCTAAAGGAAATTGGGCCAATTTCCTTTAGAATCCTGTAGGATCTGGTGGGATCTTATAGGACTTTTTCGTAAGGGGTAGACAAATTAAGCTATAACAGGACCTAAAACCAGATAATGCGCTCTTTGTTGATACATGTACTATATCGTGTCATATGATAAGAAGCATTCTGTTGGTTTCATTGTTTGATTCCTATAGGTTTCTCTATTCTGAGAATTTGTAATTATTTTATAATACTGGTTTTAATATTTCTAGCAACAGTATCGATATGATTTTTATGGAAGTGTTTGTTAACTGGGAAACTTTGCTTACTGTTGGTGTGTTTTTCAGGTTTTGCTGCCAAGAATATAGCAATAAATTAATAATAAAAGCAAACATGTTTCACATTTCAGTTTTCTGTGTAACAAAATTTCTCCACTGCTATGAAATAATGTGACCATGTGTGATATTTTAATTATACTTTTCATTGCATAATTGTGATTAATTTTACTGCATTGTCAAAGTTATATTTTTTCCAGGTACTAGTGTATAAATGTTTTGCAAATGAATCCTGCTATTTCTTATGATATTAATTTTAGTAAACTCGTTCATCATTTTCACATTATGCTTAAATGTACTATCATGGTATGATCTGTTTATATGTACACTTGTATAACTTTCAGTGACATACTGAGTCTGTTTATTTGGGTTTATGTTTCATGGTCTGAATTAAAGATATTTCCCAAGGTCATTACCCTTACGAATAGGATCCTATAAGATCCTATAAATTTATATAGGAAATTGGCCCATCTTGGCCATAGGACTTTTTCATTAGGGATTGCCAAGGTCATTCTGAAAAAAGTAACTCTACCTGTTATTGTAATAACTAGATAGTGTGTTGGAGTATTTTCTAGTGAATTCAGCGTACAGGTAACATATCTGGATACATTTGTATGATATAATAAAGAAGGTAGGCCTACATGTAGCGATTTCTTATGAATGTGTTTAACCATCCCAGGAACCGTAATTTCTATCAGGAACTACAATCCATCTGTTTTGTTTTGCTAATATTCAAAATCAAACCATTGACTGTACACAACTTCGCTTACGATGCCACCGATTGCCTGCCCTTATATTATCATGAAGTAAACCAACTAATGTCGTACTGTAGACAAACTTCATTAAAATACGGGTTATCTTCACTGGCAACACTAGTATGTGTGAACAGTGAGTAAGAGCAAAGTGATTATACGCATCCCTGCCAGAGTTTAAAACTTTTGTCCGAAAAATTAAGGCCAATTTTGATTGACTGTTTCTGTGTAAAAGAAAATAGGCCTATAAAGCACGATCACACAGAGCTGATAGAAAATTGATGTCATTTAAAAGTTTAACATACCCTTTGACGGAAATTATGGTATGAAGCGTTGAGGTATAATCAAGGAATAAAATTCTAGCACAACAAACTTTAAAATTACGATGCTCAAATATTTTTTAGATACATCGGCAGCGCATCGTCTACACTTCTGTTAAAGCGGTAAGCAAACAGGAGGGGGTCAAATTTCTTTGGCACTTAATTGATAAAAGATAAGAAAAGTTTTTCTTATATCTTTATTGTTACTGTTGTCAGGGCAACTGTCCGGAGATCGTCCAAAGTCTCTACAGCTTCAGAGGCGGGCCCAGGCTTATTTGAAGGGGGACGCAAAGCAAAACCTACCCCCCCCCCCCCCCCCCCCCCCCCCCCCCCCCCCCCCCGTCCCCTTGGCCTCGGGTTCTAAGCCCACTTAAGGGACCCAAAAAACCCATGCCATATGGTACGGTTTAGAACTATGATACAGCTAGTCTGAAGAGAGCGAGGATGACACCCCCTAAATTCGCTACTGAGCTTTAGCCTTTGGCACGGGTAGGGCCTATGATTATGGCGGTTTTCCAGATTTCAGGTAGGCTATTTTGCACGATTCAATTGGACCAGTTAAAATATTGGTGAACACTTAAATAACCGGGCTGCACGTTCCTTGAACAGGTTTGACGATATCCCATCTGGAACTGGATCTTCACGGTTGTTTAAAACCTGTCACGCTTGACTTGCCATGTTTGAGCGGTGAGTGATGTTTGTTTGGGAGCCAGGGTTCCTCCCAATTGTAAAAGTGTACACCTGTGTTGTACGCCCCTTCTTAACTTTAAGTACTTGGGTAAAGTCAGGGCAACTTAGTGGTCCATGATACTGTTCATGTTGCTCTGAGAGAGGGCGCACCAATCAAGCTGGTCCTGGTTTCACAAAAAAAAAAAAAAATAATAATAAAAACGTATGTCAAGTTCCCTAAGTTCCCTGGCTAAGCACCTAATTACCAAGATTAAGTGGTCACACGACCCCAGATTATGGAACGATATTTGACGTTTTTCAGCTTTGAACAGTCTGTGTATAAAAATGAACGTAAAACTAACCTCTAATACTTTACATGTAGCTACGATAGAGCTTTATTTACTATCCTGTAAAGCTTAATCCATATGACTGGGGTCATTATTGGAGAAAAACGCTAAAATAACGGTTAACTTCGTGTTGTTCTCAAACCCCGGTGTCACGTGAAGAAACCGTCGTCGTGAATAAACCGTTCTGACGGATTATTCACGCGGGGGTAGCAGTCTGTTGACTTACAGTAAGTAGCTGCACGTGCATTTCCAACATTGAAAGTTGTAGTATTATCAAACACACAATTTCTTTTTAATGAAAATGACTGTACTCTGAATTGAAAGAACATTGTAGCGCGAAAACATTTATACTACGAGTCTTAGATCTACCACGTTTTTCACACAAAGCCAAACAGTTCAGTCACGATCAAAAGCTCACTTCCAACATTCCCCCGTATACTGTAGTAATAAGATCATCAAATACATACTCTCTCATGACGAAAACCAATTAATTATGAATAGAAAGATCATAGTTCAGTGCAAACATAGCGCCTACTTAGGACGACATCGTCATACCGGAAGTTACTTCTTTCAATCTACCCTCAATGCGCATGTGCAGAACGGTTTCGTCACGGCACGGGTCTATCACGCCACACCGGTGTGGCGTGTACCGCCCGGAGCGTGAACCATCCGTTCTGCTCATGCGCACAAAGCGCAGGCAAATCTGAGAGACTTCCGGCATGTAGAGTCCGTCTCTATAGAGTCGTCAATACATCTCTTAGCTTTTAATAAACACGCGCTGTTGAGAACATACTGCAAAATCAAACATAATCTTTAGAAGTATTCATATATTATAGATGTTCACCTCTACTGCAATTTCTCTCAGGTGGCCATATGAACACACTAGCCTTGTAAAATCAATACTAAAATAGTAGCCAGCAGCTGAATAAACGACGGCCCGTCCACGATACTATCTAGGTTCATCCATGCGTCGATCTGTAATTTGATGCTGATTCTCTATCAAATTAAGTTATCAATTAACACATGAATTTTATCCCCATCATAGTAAATGTATAATGAGGTAGGAAATGAACTAGCCGAATACATGTATAACAGTACAGGTGAATAACAACGGACCATTCACGGAACGCCTCATACACGCTGCTGCTGCGTGTACAATCGGTCAGGACGGATGGTTCACGCAGAACGGACCGTACACGTGACACCGGGTTATGGAACAAAACCGGAAGTGCGCAGATAACGTTGCGTCAGAGTGTGTTAGATAAGATGCAAGGCAACATGTAGTGTAACCTTGGGTCGTGTAAGGGGTCTATAAGAGACAATAAAGCGACGAATACGTTTTATATTGTGAATATCAATGAAAGTAACAGCTGACACTATTCATATTAAAATGGTCTTTGACTTTTAGATTTAAACCCAAATATTGCTCAAATAATGGAATAGCTCACTCATTTACTACTGCCTTGAATCGGATTATGGAACAAGCCGAGAAATTGCAGCTACGTCGGAGTCTCAAAGCGATGTTTAGTAGTCTGGTCATTCAAAATGCTAAACTGAAAATATTTCATCAATTTTAATGAATTTAAAGTATCATATTGGTATTTCTCATTATAAAATTCATCGATCATTCCTTTGGCCTGTCGCAAGGAAACAACACCAGAAAACATTCAAAATAAAACCTTTAATTCATGGTGACAATACTGTTAATTAACATTAACAGCTCACATATCATCAACAAAGTGTGACAAATACAATAAACAGAAATTTTGCGGAGAACTAGTGTAACAATGCTGTGACCTTACAAAGAGTTGAATGTATATTCATCTTTCTGAAGAGTGCAGTGACCTTTATGAAATGGATCTAACCTTTAACTCCATAAAACGAAATCACTGCAATTATTCTAATATTATATTGTCTTGCCCTTCAAGAAAACAAACGAAGGGGCACAAAAGTTATGTACATCACTATATTAGGCCTATATCTCAAATCAAACATGCACTGCAACTCTGTTCACCATTTTTACTTTGCGTTGTTTGTAACGCACAAGAACATATCACTTGTATATTTGTTTTGCGGTAATAATAAAAATAAGCAATATAAATCTTTACAAAAAATAATAATAAAATAAAATAAAAAACAAAAGAACTCAACTGCTTCTCTTATAGGCCTGCTCTGAACACTTTTGAAACCAATCCAGATATTTATCTGAATCAACGTATTCAGAGGGAGAGCAACCGTACACGGAGTTCAGAGGACCTTGGAACAAAGTGTCGTCGGCAGGTAAGCAGCCCTCAAAAATGATCATGGGCGGCAGCAGATCCCCCATTGCATTGGCACATTCCAACTATAATAACTGTAATATGGCCGGAGGAAGTGATCGACCTCTCGTAAGGAAAGGTCTTTCCTTTCGCAGCTACAATTTTTGTGCTTGCCTGAGACTGAAAATATGTTTCATCACAGTTATAGATGCAACCCGGTTTTCCTTCAAGATTATGCTTTACCCGCGTATCTTTGAGCAAAATGAAAAACCACCCGCAACTGTTTTCTCTGACATTACCGCTCGCCCTCTGAAAAAAAGGAACTTAACCACGTTAATGTGAAAAAAAATGGTTCATATTTATTAAATAATGTTTTCTTATTTTCCGATATCCGTTCTTATCTTTAGATGAAAACAATATTTATTTTCTTATTATTTTTAATTTATTTAGCATGGTTTTATTTTATCTCACATTATTGCACCTATTTATCTGTCCCGGTTTTCTTGGGGATAACTTTGGATGTCGATTCATGAAACGATTCCACCAGCCGTTCTACGCTGAAAAGTGCACATTCCTATTTTGACCAACAGCCACGGCAAATTTGCACACCAAGTCTTTGGTTAGTGGAAACCCCCAGTCACTCATTATAAGGCAGTAGTTGACTAGCGCTGGCTCATCAGAGTGACTGAGGGCCAACTTTCCATGACCACCTCCCTTGAGAGCACCTATGGTATATTTAAGAAAAAGAGAAGAAGATACAAGATAGGGACAGATGAAATAAGAAGATTTAAAGATAAAACTTCCAGTAGAAGGCGCAAACCTAATAAATGATTAATAAGTTTAACAGTGGGTCAGCTTCCGAGAGCCGAACGCGCACAAAAATTAATTAATCCCCTTACAGCTTTTAGTAGACGGGACAGACATTTAAGCCGGTCAGGCTGACAGCAATCTAGTGAGACTCCCCAGGGGGATAGATCGATCTAAATGTATGTGGGAATGCAGTCTAGGGTAGCTATTTTGAATTTTTTATTTTTATCAGAACAAAGATCAAACATGTGTCATTTGTAGGCCTATGATTATAAAGGGTCGTCTTCGGCACGTCAAACATACGTGCCGCCTCTGATAATGAATAAGAGTCGATCATCTGAAATTCATTGTGCATGAACAAGGTCAGTAACGATATTTTCACTCATAATGTCCAATATAAAAAGTCAATATAAATTGTTATTTTGTGGGTACAAATTTATTTATTGTCACAAGTGGCGTGAGTCTAATAGCGCTCGGAGCGTTCTCTAGCGGCAGTTTACAGTGCACAGAAAGCGCCCACTGCGATGGCCAACATCGAGGCCATTTTTATGAGATCATGGAATACTTAGGTACATACGAACTGAGTATCGGTGGAGCGTGGATTCCCAGTAACACATGTAAACCACTTCTACTGTATAGTTTTTTATACGACTCAAATAAATTGGACATGCCAAGGGATAAACTGAATAGATCACTCGATCAGCCATAAAAGACCTTTAGACTGCTCCTTTCTTTAAATTTTTGGTCGGAAATTTAACCTACTTTCGTGACCTACTTTTCTGCCCCATTGGCATACAGCATAGAATGCTAGCAGAAAAATCCATTCAAACATCATTTTCGAGTAAAATTAAACAATGCCTTTTGGCAATTCTCTTAGTTAGCCGGGTACGTAGGCCTACGGATAAAATTTAGTCCCAAAATATTACACGTCCCTATAGGTACTCCCGTTACCGATAGATACATAAAGGAAAAACTGAAGAAACGTCTTTTTAAATTTAAATACCGATAGATCCGATTTTTTACCACCGTCCCATATATTTGCGTTCCTATAGATACGATGTCCTCATAAACCCACGTCCTTTAAATCCGCATACCTATAGATCCACGTATTTTTAGATCCAAATACCGATAGATCCATTACAGGTAGGCCTACATGTACATTGTACACTATTGCTCAGTATATTACTCAGTACATAAAATGCACTTTTTTAAAACGACAGTAGGGCCTACACTTAAATTACATTAAATCTTTCAGCTATTTATTATTCTACTAGATCGTTTTTACGCAATACTCGGGTAATTTACATAAGGCCTACTAATGCATTATATCTGACAGAAATTTATGATTTCACTAGATGTTTTGTTATTTTCATGTTACATTCATTTAGTTTTGAATACGAAGGCTTCTGACAGGAACCTAAAATTATATATTTATTTCGTAGCGATTAATCCCAGAAAACACACACACACGCACACACGCACGCACGCACGCACGCACACACACACACACACACCACCCCGTCAATTTACCCTCATTCACAAGGAAATGAAACCCTACGTAAACCCTGAAACCGGGCCTCGGAGGCCCGGTGTACCATGAAAATCTGACTCTCCCTATGAAATTTTGACTCCCCCCCCCCCCAAAAAAAAAACATCCATAAATCTCATTTAATTTGAGTAAATGACTATGATCTTGTAGTATGCATAATGGAGGACACATTGGCACTTTTTGTTAGTTTGCAGGTGGAAATTTTCATGAAAAGATAAAAAAATTAAAGATTTTTATTTTACCACCCAAGGACTCCCCTATGAAAAAGCTATTTATTTGACATTTGATGACCATTTCAACATCTTTCCTTTTAGGATACTTTATGAAGTTTATATTTGAAGTACTTGAAAGTTTGATGGTAAAAAAAATGGGTGAAAAAAAAACACATGAAAAATGAGAAAAATTAAAGATTTATATTCTAACACCCATTGAATCCCCTATGAAAAAGCTATTTATTTGTTATTTGATGATTATTATGACATCTTTTCTTTTAGGATACTTAATGAAGAATATATTGGAAATATTTAAAAGTTTGAATGGTAAAATACTGGGTGAAAATAAATGAAAAATTTATGAAAATCTTCATTTTCATATGCATGGAATTTGGACTCCTATGGACTCCCATTAGTGAAAGGCCCCATTTTATATTTTTTTTTCCAAAAGCTGAATGGAAAATGGGGATTGATGGTTTTAAATAGATATTAAATTGTATTCTTGTACCCGTAGGATTTTGACTTCCCTAGTCTTTCAAATATTTCCAATATAATCTTCATAAAGTAAAAGTTGGGGAAAGGTGTTGAAATGATCATCAAATATTAAACAGATAGCTTTTTCATAGGGGAGTTATTGGGTGATAAAATGCACATTTTTAATTTTCTTATTTTTCATGTTTTCTTTTTAGTTTTTTCACCCAATAATTTACCATCAAACTTTCAAATATTTCCAATTGATCTTCATAAAGTTAAAGTAAAGGAAAGATGTTGAAATGATCATCAAATATTAAATAGGCCTAGATAGCTTTTTCACAGGGGAGTCACTGGGTGATAAAATGCACATTTTTAATTTTTGTATTTTTCATGTTTTCTTTTTAGTTTTTTATAATCTTAATAAAGTAACTTTAAAGGAAAAATGTAGAAATGATAATCCAGTATCAAACTAGAGGATCAGAGAGGCGATACCGCCTCCTGGTATTGTACCACCAGCTGGAGTAAGAGCATTCGTATGGGAAGGAAAAAGAAGGGGGAGGGGTTGTCTCACTAGTTGACGATCTTTCGCAAACAAAAGCCATTGAATGAATATACGATTGCAACGATCCCCCACTGAGGATACGAAAATGACGTTCTTCCTTGCTCTTTGGCCAACAAAGACTCAAATATGAAAATCGCGTCCTCATCTCTTTCACATTGGGAATGAACTTTCGCTAACAATTTGAAAGTTGTCTTTTTTGTCTGCCAGTTTTAGAGATAAAATGGAAAAAATTTTGCAAAGTTCAGTTCATGGTGAAAAGTAGGTCAAAGGTCAATTTCAAGGTCACATTTAGATTGCCA